GGTGGTGCTCAGGTGTTTCTTGGAAAACAAAGCAAAACAAGCCTCTCGGCCTGTCTTAGCCAGCAGAGTGGCTGAACTCCAGAAGAAAGTGGGAAGGCGGGGGGGAACAACCATCTAATTTATTTTATTTGACTCAGTTTTGCAGAATATTTACCCCTGCAATGTATATTCTAAATATCCAAACCCTGATTTTGTTTCACAGGAAAATTTTACCTATACTTTCTCTTCATAGATTGTTAAGATAGAGCTTTATTAAAGGGACTTTTTATTTCTCCTGGAATCTATCTTCTTTGGATTACTAATACAAACCTGAAGTTATTTTAAAAAAGTGGAAGTAGGGTGATAAGTTATCACTGGCACAAATTTTCCTCACCAACATCTGTGACCCTCTTCCTTTGGTGAAGAAATGGAACACAAAATATTAGGCCTAATGTGACCTTTACTGTTTTCTAATCCAATCTCCCCTTTTCAATCTTTAGTGCAGATTAAAAAAAAAAAAAAACCCTAAGGACTAAAGATGTGGAGGATTGGCTAAGATCCTATAACTGGCAGCTGGAAACACACCAGGTGAAGAGGCAGAGATCATATTGGTGGCAACAGTAAAAGTCAGAAATCTTGGGCAATGTACTACTTGACAAGTAGAATGCAATTCTGGAACCAGATGGGCAGTTCTTGTGCAGCTATTGTACAATGTACTTGACTGACTTGAATCTACTCTCTTAGAACCTGTGTAGACCCACTGAAACTGTTTGAGAGGAACCCATAGTACTCCGCCATATTTAAAGAGGGTTTGGGCATTCTAGCACTTTCTTGTTACAGCTCCTATACTGTGCCCACAGAATGTCTTTACAAAGTCCTACAATGAAATGAAGTTATGTTCGGGAATTCATTTGCTATCCTGATTGGTTTCTATTACTCCTTACTAGATGTATGATTTATCTGAGATATAGTTGGTATATCTAAATTTAATTATCAGCCTCTAAGCCAGGAGATAGGCACTTTATTAGTTCTCTCTTGTTCCTTCCATCATCATGATTCAAACTGCTAGGCCCAGGCTTCTGGAGTGTGGTTACTGCACTGTATTTCTTCATCATTTAACCACTATTCTTATCTTTTTATAGGAGTGTACCACTTTCTCTTTTGGTTAAGTAACTAATGACACTGGTGTATACCTTACCAGTTACAAATTGCTACTATGCATGCTACTAATGGCGACAAGTCTGTTCTCTAACTAATCGCTTCTATTTGCTTCTTGGACAAAAAGTATGTGCTAAGCATATGGTTTAGCTCGATTAATCTCTGTTTATATCAGTTTTATCTTAACAGGTTAATGAAATTGTGATGTGTATCAAATAAATAGGTTCAGCTTTTATCACACACACTTTTTATATAATGCAGCTTTTAATCATTTAACTTCCAAGTTTAAAATAAAAGTAGTTATATGCTTTGAATATGAAAGAGCAAAGTGTTCCCAAGAACTTTGTAATATGTATCTCTTGGAGATAAAATGTATACATAAGATAAAAAATATGCCTATTAAGAATTTATAAAAGGATCTGATGAAGATTTTGATCTATAATTTTGCATCACTTTCAACTGAGAGTCTGAGTTTATTTCTCAGAACCCCAGGATACTCTACTAACACGACTGCATAAACCTATGCTTCGTCTTTATCTTTGTCAGTATTATCTTTTATGCAATATGGTAGTCCTTAGGGAGCATTAATTGCTAGCTATCTTTTAGCTACTTAAGGGCAATCTTGGAACAATTACCATGTATTTATGGGAATGAGGCATTCATTTATTTATTGCCTTTCTCCTAAAAGTCTCATAGCACTTGAGTCAAGAAGATAACAGTATAAATATGCCCACTTATCTTTCAGGAATTACCCCTTTCTCCAACTCAGCAGCAGCCCAGCACCCTTATATGGGCTCACTTGTACAAGTTAAAACTATAAGGATGATTGTCATTCAAAAGCATATTGAATCTGCCCTTTCTCAATTATCTTTTCCTCCCTTTCCTGCCCAGTAGTTTCTTTCTTTTTCTTTTTTTTTTTTTCTTGAAATGGAACAAGGACTCTGACTTAGGGAAAATAGAAATTTGGCTTTGTAGTGATCATTGGTCCCATTTTTAGACAGGATTATTAGGGATATGAAATAATTACTGTTTGGTGTTTGCATGTTTATGTGAAATAAACGGAGTATTTCAAATAGGCAGACAAGTGCCACAGACTATCTCACTAAACCAATTCAGTTGATATAAAATAAACAAATCTTACTACTTCATAGGGCTTATAAATATTTTTACCTTTCATTGATTTTATCCATGTATATATATGCATATAAAATATATGGCAATATGTGAAAAACACATTGTAATACATGACAAAGTCATATAATATGATTTTCCAAGGGGAGAAAATAAAGATCTGATACTTTTCAATCTCTGAATTTATTGTTTGACACATTTCCAGATGTTACGAGCAAAAATACACATAATAAGACCTCGACATTATATTTAAATTATTATATTAAAAGTTTTGCAAAGAACCCAACTTTAAAATTATATTTTTTCTCCCAGAGAGATATGACAAAAGGATGACTTAAAAAGTTCATGCCAAATTAATGACAAGGAGGTCAGAAAACATAAATGAAAAATTAATATGTTATTTCTTCTCTCTCCTTCTGTCTTTCTCATTTAGATTATAGTCTTTGCTAGCTATTATGGCATAGCTGGATCTTTACAAATTTTACATTTTAGAGGTGATTCATTTTACTAACCTAAATTTTAGTGGTATTATATTATTTTATTCAGATTGCCATTTATTTAACGTTATTTAATTCAGATAAGATAAAGGTAAATTTAAGTATAAAACTGATTCATTCACTGTGATATAGAAACAGAAAAAAAAAACCCAACACTCATATACATGCCATGGGTTTTAGAATCAAAAAGACCTCAGCCTGAATACCAGCCATGCTACTTACTATGGGTTAGAGGTCTTTCCGCAGGTTAATTAACCTGTCTGAGCTTCAGTGGATAATGATACTCATAGTAGTTGCTGTGGAAATGAAATGGTCAACTGTATGTGTAAAGTGCCTGGCACACAGCACCAATAATGGCTATCATTTAATGTAGCTTTTTATGACACATACTATGCTAAACACTTTATACATTTACAAATTTAATCTTTACAGTTATTCCTATGGAGTAGGAGTTATGTTGGTCTTATTTTTGCAGAGGTGGAAATAAAGGAGAGAGATGGCAAATAATTTACCTAAAGCTGTATAACTCTTAAGTGGCAGGGGTAGAATTCTACGTTTTCCTAACTTGGTGGCTTAATGCAACATTGATCTTCTCTCATGATTTTATGGGATGACTAGATTGAGGTAGGTGGTTCCTTTGCTCTACAAGATGTCAACTGTGGCTATAGCCATCTGGTTTTGGTGGTGGTGGTAGTGGGGAGAGGTTGCAATGTCTGTGATGGTTTATCACAAGCCTGGCATTAAGTGCAAACTGTATGTGGGCAAATCAGATACATGTGTCAACTGGATGTTCCAGTTTTCCTCCTCTTTGCAATACTGCCTGAAGCCTCACCATATAGACTGGCTTTGCTAAGGGTTGGAGGCTGGGTAACAGGAAGCAACAAGCTCCAAAGTGCAAGCGTGTAAGGTGCTTCCACAGGGACACCCAGAAAAGCCCAGAATCAACAGAGAGAACAACACAAGAACATACACACTGGAAGTCTCCTTTAAGGCAACTAATGTAACACACCAGTGCAACACCTGTCATCAAAAGCACTCTTTTGTGTCTTCCAGCCCTTCAAGGCTATCTGCTATCTTCTGTTCCCCTTGTGCAGCATGTTGGTCAATGCATTGGAGAGGGACTTAGGAGTTTCATACACATACTCAATTATAGGCTTTTAGTAAGCTTTTACACTTGCCTGTTTTCAAATAGGACATGAAATTTCAATTTCATATAAGTGGTTTAAAAGAAATATCAATTTTATGAAAAAAAAACTTCTCAAAGATTTAAATTATGTTTTGAGTTTTTTAATGCCATTCTCTATTGGGTTTTATATGTTATAGTTCATTAGTGAATAAGGAGAAATAGAGTTAAGGTTTATATCCTGTCATTATTCAAATAAAAGTGATTATATAGCAATCTATTTTTTAGAGTATAAGATTAATTTTGTATTTTTAAGAAACTTCAAAGGAATGGCTTTGAGCTCACTATTTCTGTAAAAATGAAAATTTCCCTCCTTGAAGTTATAGTTTTTTCCATTTTATATAAATTAAAATAATTTAGTTCTAATAGCATTTATGTAGATGGGTTACATATAAATTTTTTTGTTTAGACATTTTACTTCAGACAAAGCATCCATATTTGTACATGAAATTTATTTCCAAGCAGAAGTATTTTACCTTAATAACTAATGTATTTTAATTGTTTCTTCTATTAATACTGAAATTTTAACAGCTTTAGACTAAGTGAACAGATTATAGAAATTAGAAAAAAATATATAGCCTTTTACTTTTGATTCATTACTTCATGTTAAATTAGCAAATGATTTACAAGGAAAAAATACCATTTCAAAGCTGTTTGGTGACCAATGCAAACTCTAATAATGTCACAGTCTCATATCAAGATTCTGAGGGGTTCAGAAGATGATATTAGAACTAAATTATCCTCTTTTTTAAAAAAATAATATATTTTATTTATTTTTGAGAGAGAAAGAGAGAGAGAGAGCACGAGCAGGGGAGGGTCAGAGAGAGGGAGGCTCCAGGCTTTTAGCCATCAGCAGGGCTGAACTCACGAACCGCAAGATCATAACCTGAGCTGAAGTCAGATGTTTAACCGACTGAGTGACCCAGGTGCCCCCTAAACTAAATTATCCTCTTATTGGCTGCGGTATTGCTAGTAAGGTTTTTCATTTGTTTGTTTCTAAGGAACTGAGATAGAGATATATAAAAGAGGTAATAAAGAAAATTAATACTTACTTTTTGTGACAACACCTTCCAGCCGAATGATATTTGGGTGATCAAACTGACCCATGATACTAGCTTCTCTTAGAAAATCTCTTCTTTGTCGATCCATGTGGCCACCTTTTAAAGTTTTGATGGCAACGGGGATCTCTCTTTTCCCTGGTGTCTTCAATCGTCCACTACAGACTTCTCCAAATTCTCCTTAAAATGTGAACAAAAGTAATTTTGTTTAAGGAGAATACTTACATTCGTGAAGAACTGAATTGTCATAAGTTATCATTTTTTAACATAATGACTGTCAACTGTGTCATTTCCATATGGAGATTTCTTTCTTAAAAATTAAACTTATAATGATGACATGCTTGATCAGCATCATTTATACCATCATTTCATATGGTAAGGCACAGAACTGCCATTGATAGATCTCCCTGATCTGCAGAGAAATTATGACTAGCAGAATCGGTGATGCTAATGTAATTCTATCGAAAAGCAGTCACTGCCTAACATTTCCTCTTCCTGATCTCAATACTGATATATGGGCTAAATGTCTGCTCTATTCAGGGAATCCATCAGGCATGTGTAGTGGATTTGATCCTGAAGACCATATGCCTGAGCTTCACTACTACCAGAAATCAGTGCTAGGGTCAACCGGTATATGAACGTATTGAAATGAATCCATCAAACTCAACTATAATAGGTGATTATACAGGCTAAATTACAAGTCACATGGTTGGAATACAAATATAATAAGATGATTTATGGCTCAGCAATGGCTTCACTGGGCAGGAATGAATAACAGGCAAATATTTATCACTAATTTACTATACACACACATATTCATATATGTATACATATAAATATATCCAGTGTTAGAGTGCTGTGAGTTTCAAAGAAGTATAAGACTTTGTCTCTGTTCTTAGGAGCCTACAGTTTAGTAGAAAAGTTTAGCTGAATAAATAAAACATTCAAGAACATAGGAACCAATCTCTGCAAATGGTATATTAGTTAAGTAAGAACAATGGCAACTAGAAGACTTCCTGGAGCAGGTGAAACTTCTGCTGGATGTTGATTGATAGGTACAATTTGGATATTCAAGAAAAGCAGTAACATTCCAGACAGAGATACATAGAGGGAATGAGAAGAGTGAAGACAATGATTCAAAGATCAGAAGCCATAAAGACACAAGGGTGACTAATGGGGTTATGGTGGGAAAGAAGTTTGGAAGTTTTCTTAGTGCAATGAAATAAATTCAATAAAACTTGAAATTCCAGACTTAACTTTTCTGAGGCCAATAACCTACATTTGCTTAAGAGCATGATGCTTGATCACCAATTTATTAATCTATAAAGATAATAATAAAATCTTCCTATATATAAGTTCTTCTGTAATGTCCCTTCCTAATAAGGATACTAGGAAGATCAAAAGTGATATAGAGAGAGGAGAGGGCAAGATGGCGGAGAAGTAAGGAGCTCCGTACTTGCACTCGTGCCCATACATCACACAGAAAAGATCTGAAGCCATTGGAAACCTTACAAAACCTGAGAGATTGGGAGAAAAAAGACGCAGAATCGACTGAGAGAGCCTTCTAACGTGAGTGCAAACCGGGGAAGATAAAATCGGGCCGGGATCGGAGACTCCAGGGTGGGAGGCGATCCCCCTCTACCCTCTACGGGGAGTAAGAGGGGAAAAGGAGAGAGTCCGAAACAGAAAAACCTCCACTCCATGCATAGAAAGACCGTACTTGCCAAATACCTGCACACCAGGTCCCCTCGCGCCAACTGGTCCTGGAGGGGGCTGAGCAAACAAACTGCTTCTTTGTGCTGGCTCCTGGAGGCTAGACTTCAGAGTGGTGGCGCGCCTGCCGCCATTGTAGCTCCCGGGCGGCTGGGGCCCCTGAAAGAGCCACGCAG